ATTTAATTTAATTTAATTTAATTTAATTTAATTTAATTTAATTTAATTTAATTTAATTTAATTTAATTTAATTTAATTTAATTAATTTAATTTAATTTAATTTAATTTAATTTTATTTAATTTTATTTAATTTTATTTAATTTAATTTAATTTAATTTAATTTAATTTAATTTAATTTAATTTAATTTAATTTAATTTAATTTAATTTAATTTAATTTAATTTAATTTAATTTAATTTAATTTAATTTAATTTAATTTAATTTTATTTAATTTTATTTAATTTTATTTAATTTTATTTAATTTTATTTAATTTTATTTAATTTTATTTAATTTTATTTAATTTTATTTAATTTTATTTAATTTTATTTAATTTTATTTAATTTTATTTAATTTTATTTAATTTTATTTAATTTTATTTAATTTTATTTAATTTTATTTAATTTAATTTTATTTAATTTTATTTAATTTTATTCAATTTTATTTAATTTAATTTAATTTTATTTAATTTTATTTAATTCTATTTAATGTTACTTAATTCTTATAATTTCTTATAATTTTTAAAATTTGTATAATTTTGTCTAATTTTTAATATTTAATTTTATATAATTTTTGTTATATTTATCAATTTTTTTTAATTTTATTAAATTTTGCTTAGTTTTATTCAATTTTATTTAGTTTGTATAAATTTTTATAATTTTTTTATTAATTTTTACAATTTTTTATAATTTTTTATACATTTTTAAAAATTTTTATAATTTATATAATTTTTTATAATTTTTTGTAATTTTTTAGAATTTTGATAATTTTTTATAGTTTTTATATATTTTTTTAATGTCTTATAGTTTTTTATAACCTTTTATAATTTTGTATAACTTTTAATATTTAATTTTATATAATTTTAGTTATTTTTATATAATTTTCTTTAATTTACTAAGTTTTGTAAGAGTTTTTAAATTTTATTTATTTGATTAAATTGTTATAAAGATAGCACAAAAATTAATCGCGCTAGTAAAGGAGCGGCCATGTGGTAAAAAATTCAACAGACCATGAACTCTTTCCAATCATAACAGATCTCAAAGCAATTGCGGTGAAAATCACAGAAGCACATAGGAAATTCTATATCTCTAATTTTTACTTGCCTCCCAACATACAAGTTAATTGCGAAGACCTTCGCAAACTTCTTAATCAGATACATACACCACGTATAATTTTAGGTTACTTGAATAGATATAATACAATTTGGGGATTACAAAATACAAATTTAAGAGGCCAAATATTAGAGAACATTCTTACAGATTTCATCCAAGCTTTTCAAATGATAACAACCGTACTATATTTGACATATTGACAGGTAGATCATATATAAAAAGCAGTAAAGATGAATTTAATAATAATTATAATAAGCATAAGACATCGAAAAATATAATTAATTTCAAAAAATTAGTCAAAAGCGCATCTTAGTATAACGGAATCTAAAAGGAATTTATGGGAAGAAGAGTTTGCCTTGAAAATAAATAAAACAACTAGCCCCAAGGAAGTCTGGAAAAAAAATCAGAAAAAAAACATAAAACATTTAAAAGTACAAAATAAAATAATATCAACATATTGGGACATTGCAAACGTTCAGTGGATTTTTACGAAAGCCGATCTAACGACAAAAACCCCCAGGCAGACTGTTCACACTTATGATCTGAAACCTATAGTCTTCTTAATAATAAAAATCCTAATGTAACAATTAATAGTCGCCTTACATTTCAAGAACTTACGCATTTTCAAGCTTTAACGGTTCTTGTCCTGAACCCGTACGATAATATAATAACCATTGTTCTGAAGCTATTTTCTTGTGGCATTGTAAATTAATTACTATTTAACTGGGAATAAGCCACAATTAAAGATAAAAATACGTTTATTGACGTTTCAATTTTCACTTCGGAAGTCGTTCTCAAAATACAAACAGTAAATTGTTTAAATTTTAAACAGTTTTTTAAATTTACTGTTTGTATTTTGAGAACGATTTCCGAAGTGGAAATTGAAACGTCAATAAACGTATTTTTATCTTTTTTTTTTTTTTTTTTTTTTTTTTTGAACCTATTCTCTATCTTTCTATTGTTGGATATAGGTCTCCCCCAGTTCTCTCCATCTTTCCCTATCTTGAGCTGTTCTCTGCCATGTGGGACCTCCTTGTTTCCTGATGTCATCTTTCCACCTCATCTGTGGTATGCCTCTGGATCTCTTTGCATTGTATGGACGCCACTTTCCGATGGCATTGTTCCATCGTCCGTCTTGGAGACGTTCATTGTGTCCAGTCCATTTCCATTTCAGTTTTGCTGCTTGTTCTATTGCGTCTACTGTCTTTGTTCTGGTTCTGATCCACTGGTTACGTTTTCTATCTCTAAGTGATACACCCAACATTTGTCTTTCCATCGCTCTTTGTGCCTTCCTTATCCTATCCAAATTGGCCTGTGTAAATGTCCATGTCTGTGCTCCGTAGGTGAGCACCGGTATGATACAGGAGTTATATACCTTGCTTCGTAAGTATAGAGGGATTGTTTGATTTTTTAGAACGTAAGAACGCTGCCCATCCCATTCTTACTCGTCTCGATATTTCGGCTGTTTGATTTTCTCTATTAGCTCTGATTGCTTGTCCTAGATAGATATACTCATTTACCTGTTCTATTTGTTCTGTTTTTATTTTTATTGCCTCTTGGTCTTCCGTGTTTGTCATTACTTTTGTTTTGTTGAAGTTAATTTTTAGGCCTTTTTGTAGTGATTTTTCATGAAGTTCATTCAGCATTAATTCCAGTTCTTGTCGTTCCGAGGAGATCAGGAGTATATCATCCGCATATCTAAGGTGATTTAGGTATTTTCCGTTAATACATATTTCTCTGTTTTCCCAATCTGTTGATTTTATTATGTCTTCGAGGGTCAAGGTAAACAGTTTAGGTGAAATTATATCACCTTGTCGGACTCCTCGTTTAACTTTTATATTATCCGTTATTAATTTGTCGTCCAGAATTACGGTCATGGTTGCGTTTTGGTAAATATCATGTATCAATTGTCAGTATCTTGAATCTATTCTACTATTGACCAGAGCTTCTTCAACCGCCCAGTGTTCAATGCTGTCGAAAGCCTTTTCATAATCTACGAATGCTAAGTACAGCTGAAGGTTGTATTCATTGGTTTTCTCAATTAAGATTTTAAGCGTATGTAGATGGTCGATTGTGCTGTATCCTTTTCTGAATCCGGCCTGTTCCACTGATTGGTAGTTATCAAGTTTATAGGTTAGTCGGTTGTTTATTATTCTTGTGAAGGTTTTATATAGCTGTGACAAAAGGGAAATAGAACGATAATTGTTTAGGTCTGTTCGGTATCCTTTCTTATGTATTAAGATTGTGTTGGCATTTCTCCATTGTTTGGGTATTTTACCTTCAAACAGACATTTGTTGAACAGTATTTTTAGCATTTTTTTATCCTGTCTCCTCCTTCTTTTAGCAGTTCCGCCAGTATTTTATCCTCACCGGCCGCTTTATTTCTTGTCATGTCGTTTATGGATTTTTCGATTTCATCTTGTTATTTCTGGTAATACCTCTGAGCCAACATTTTGTATTTTCCTCGTGAGATTCTGTTTAGATGATAGTGGTGGGTCATTTTTAGAAGTGTATAGGTCTGTGTAATATCTTTCTGTGATTCTTACTATTTCTCCTAGATCTCTTTCTTCATTGTTCTCAGCTTTAAGCATGATTAGTTTTCTTTTTCCTATATTTGTCTTCATTGTTTTTAAACTTTTGTTCTTCTCTATGATTTTCTTAATGCGGTCTTCTTGGTATTTCTTTAAATCTTCCTTTATCTGTTTTCTTATGGTTTTATTCAGTTCGGTATACTCCACTGTATTTCTTTTGTTATCATTCAGTAGTTGTCGTCGTTTTTTTAGCATATCTTGTGATTTAGCGCTAATTTTTTGTTGTTTTCGCTTTTGTTTATTAGCAATTTTTATCTTTAATTGTGGCTTATTCCCAGTTAAATAGTAATTAATAATAACCATATTTCAAAAACATCTTCTGGAATCAGTCAAATATTATTTACTTGATAAGTATTTAATTTCAAATGGATGCAACAGCTTATTCCTTTGATATAGACTAATTCCCATGTCCTATCTCTTTTAAAAGACTAAAACCACAGTATAGTGCTTAAAATAAGCACTATACTGTGCTAAAACTCACGATAGTGTGAAATCATACAGGCCATTATCAATTACTTATAGTTGCATTAATTCCATATGCAAAATTGGTTACAATGTCCATATTATGTGTATATTGGAAAAAAATTGATTATTAATTACTGAAATTGATAACATTATGGAACTCGAATGCGATTTATTAGAAACGTCAACTGATCCTTTCATTATGTTATAATATGTGATAACCCCGGGTTTATTTTGTTTCGATCCTGCCTGGATCAGTAATATCATCGTTGTAAAAAGTGGAAATCATACCTTTATTTTTGTTCTTTTTAAGGACTAAGGATGCTAATCGAACCATGATTTGTTGAATTTCCAAATGCAAACATACAGCTCTGGTCGCTCATTTCGATCCTGCCTGGATCAGTAATATCATCGTTGTAAAAAGTGGAAAGCATACCTTTATTTTTGGTCTTTTTAAGGACTAAGGATGCTAATCAAACAACGATTTGTTGAATTTCCAAACGCAAACATACAGCTCTCCACTAGTCTACCTTTTATATTTTTTCCATGTTATCATATTTACTGGAAATAACCCCACTTTTAATTAAAAATAGGTTATTTTTGGAATTTCGATTTCCTCCCTCGTAAAATCATTCTAAAAACCGTCAAATATAATTTGTTTTTAATTAAACTTGTCGCTTATTTTCATTAAATCCAGTAAATAAAATTGTATTAATTTTGCCAGCTCCAAACACCTGTTTTACGGATTTTATTATACATTGCACTTGAGTACATAATTATATATTTTTTCGCTTCACAGATCAAGCATTTGGAAGGTGCTTGCGAACTATAGGAGATATTGATGAAGATGATCTGTTTAGGTAAGGAATTTTTTGGTTAGACAAACACAAGTTGTGGGTACATTTTTCAAGTAACTAATTAATGTTTATATTACTTTTCTAGATATCCATTGGAACGAGAAAGCTTGCACGAACTTAGCCATGAACTGCGCAGGTTGTTTGCACTGGGATACAGATGGAGTCATGGCTACACTCAATGTCGATTACAGGCTATGCTTTACGCTTTAAGGCATGAGTAAGTAGCATATTTATGTTCAAAATTAAAAAGAAAATACAACTTTTTTTAGGTCATTCGATAGTAGTTCTGCACATCAGGCGAAATATTACATCTTTGACACTTAGTCGTGTGTGTTTTGTATCAAACCACGTCTAAGCCTAGTCTTCTTCTTTATGTTCCGTCTTCTACCGAAGGTTTTTTTTGTGCCGCTGTTCGCAGCTTCTGGTATTTGAAACCATTCTCTCAAGTTTGTCAGCCAGGATTTCTTCTTTCTGTCCAAACCTCTTCTATCTTCAATCTTGCCTTCCATGATAAGCTGTAGCAGACTGTACTTATCAGTACGGAACACATGGCCCAGGTATGACGGTTTTCTCCTTTTAACAGTTGTTAACAATTTCACCTCTTTACCCATTCGTCTTAATACCTCTGTGTTGGTCACTTTGTCTGTCCAAGGTATTCTTAGTATGCGTCGATACCGCCACATTAGTAGAGCCGCTAACTTTTTTATAGTTGCTGTTGTTAACTTCCACCTCTGTAAAGTAGCGTACAGAGGACGTAGCATTTCGTGGCGCTCCGTCGGAGGTTAACGCTTAGGTTGGGGTTGCTTAAGAGCTTTCTCATTTTGATTAATTTGGATCTTGCTATTTCAATTCGGATCTTAATCTCTACGTCTGGGTCCCACTTATCATTTACTGTATATCCCAGATATTTAAATCGGTGTACTTTTTTAATACGTTCGGCTTCAATATTCAGGTCGATATGTTGAATGTTCTTTTTACTGATCACCATAAATTTAGTTTTCTTCTTTAGCATCATCTGTAGATCTTCAACATTATCGGCCAGTATAACAGTATCATCTGAATATCGAAAATTATTTATTGGTACGGCATTAATCTTGATGTCCTCGTTGTACTCTTCCAATGCCTCTAGAAATATTTGTTTGGTGTACAGGTTGAAAAGCAGTGGCGAAAGAATACAGCCCTGTCTAACCCCTCTCGAAATGGTTACGTTTTCACTCACCTTATGTCCATTCTTCATGTGGGCTGTTTGATTCCAATATAGATTTTTTATAATCTGGATGTCCTGAGTGTCAAGTCCTGTAAGATGTATTTGTCATGTTTAATAGTATCGAATGCTTTCTCATAGTCGATAAAACAGGCGTAAACATCTTTCTGTTGATCCTGGCATTATTAAATCAAGACTTGTATTGCAAAGAGGGGCTCTCGAGTTCCAAAACCGCATCTAAAATCTGAGTCAAGTGCTTTTGATGACAGCCAGCATTTTTCTGATGTGTAATTTAATGATTTCTCATTGCTTAATCTTTGTTTTGCTGGTATATACTCATCGTATCTCACTCACAATGCCACTGAATATTTTATTTTGTTCGAGTATAAAACCACAATACTTGTATTTAAACGTTTTTGACGGTTTAACTTTACCTCTGGAAATCCTTGTAAAAAAAAACAAATTAAATATAATAATATATAACCTATAAATATTATGATCTTCTGTCAACTGACAGTAAATGAATTATTGACAGGTAAGAGTTAGTTTATGTAATAAATAGACAAATAATACAAATAGACTGAGCACGGTAATACCTGCCCGTTCCCCTAATGGGCGGGTTTATCCACCATGTGACCTAAATGACCAATGGGAAGGTTAGGACTGTTTTACATCAGTGTTATCTGTCGCAATGAGGGAACAGGCATATATTGCAGCGCTAAGTATATTTGTATTATATGTCTATTATGTGAAATGTTATTCTTTTAATTATCAATAACGTGTTCTTGATATGTTGCTATTTTTTTGCTTTCTTCCTTTATTGTCGTTGATTTTACTGCATTTTATTTAAGGCATTGAGGCTGGTTTATATAAATGTCATAACACTATATAACAAAATTTGTTGGTAAAGACACCTTCATCAATCAGCCAATCGCGTCCACTGCTGGACATAGGCCTCTCTTAGTTCTTTCCAGTGTTCTCTACACTGGACCGCTTGTAGCCAGTTTCCCGCTGCACGTTTTATATCATCGGTCCATCTAGTCGGTGGTCGTCCTCGGCTTCTTTTATAGTTTCTGGGCCTCCATTCCATAATACGTCTTGTCCACCGTCCATCTTGTGTTCTGGCTGCCCTGCTCAGTTTCACTTAAGCGTCGTGGTTCTTTCGATGACGTCTTGAACTCCTGATCTTTGCCTGATTTTTTGGTTTGTTATGTTGTCTCGACGGCTCACATTCAGCATTGCACGTTCCGTGGCTCGTTGTGTAACTCTGAGTTTATACGCAGCTTTAAGACACCTTAATAGGTGTCAATGTAACAACTAGGAATAAGGGAATTATAAAAATGCGCAGCTAAATGAAACAAAGGGGCAATGCATGAGAGTAGAGGAGAAGGTACAAATATGGGCTATGCTACTAATATGGGCTATATGAAATACACACCACGATCTATACGTTAATAGCTTGACTAGACACTCTTTAGTCTAAAATTAATAATAGCTAATAAAGCTTACAGTGACCTAGGTCCAATGACCGTTGAAACAATCACAGGTTAGTGTTGACCCTGTTCAAGAAATTTTTCAGGTATGTTTTTATTTCAATTTTTTTTCGGTGAAAACAAGAATAAATTTAATATTTTACTACACATCGTACGCGAAAGGCTACTATTTTCAGAATATTTTCGACCTTTTTGTTTAATTTGTGTTGCATTTTAGTTATTAATATTTGAATATATGTTTGGTTATGTTACAATATGGGCTAGCGTGATGCTACAAATATGAGCTAGCCCATATTTATATTAGTTTAGTTTACAGGCTTTTTTCTTTTCAGAATGCTTACAAAAAGTATTGTAAGTCCAAAACAATAAAAGTCCTGGGATCCAGATAGCATGAAATCTGCTATTCGAGCTGTGAGAGATAAAACGGTGGGTACATTAAAAGAAGCTAAAACTTATAATCGATCGACAGTACAACGGTTAGCAAAAATGACTGAACTGAGTTCAGACAAAGCAGTACTTAAGAAACTGGGAAGAGGAACTATTCTTGATCCAGATTTAGAAAAATGTTTGGTGGACTATATCCTTCAAATGGAAGCGAAATTCTATTGTTTAACGCGGACTGGTATTAAACGAATGGAATTTTAATTTAAATGAATTGATTAAATCATCCCTTTATGCAGTTAAAAAAAGCTAGTAGAGGTAGGCTAAATTTGTTCTTGGCGTGTCATAAAAATACATTGGCTTTAAGGAGGAAACGTCTTTTGGACGGGCAGCTAGCTTTAACAAAGATAATGTTCAAATATTTTTTGATCATCTGGAAAAAGCATATGATGAATATAATTTTCCGAGTAATCAGGTCTACAAAGTAGATGACACAGGTCTAACCAATGTGCAAAATAAAATTGCAACAATAGTGGGGCGCAAAGGAAAGATGGTATGAGTGCTGGAGGGAATTTTATCCCACCGATGTTAATCTTCCCAAGAAAGAATATGAATGTGCAACTTATCTAAGGTACTCCTCCTGGATCGATATCAGCCATTCATCCTAGTGATTGGATGCAGTCTAATTGATTTACACAGTAGTTTAAACACTTCATAGATACCGTTAAAACCTCTAAAGAGTTTCCTGTACTTCTTATATTGGATGGACACTACAGCCATACTCGCAATTTAGATGTGATCAATCTGGCAAGGGAGAATAACTTAGTTATAATTGCATTACCTCCACATTCAACACACAAACTGCAACCGCTAGACAAAACTTTCATGGGAACACTCAAGGCATACTATAGCGAAGAAATCAGGCAATGGTTACATCATAATAACCGCGCCCTCTCTTCGTACGATATTGGAGAACTTTTTGGCAAAGCATACCTTAAAAGCCAAACTGGTGAAATTACTGTAAATGGATTCCGCGCCACTGGAATTTATCCGTTGAATCAGACTGTGTTCTCAGATGCAGATTTTAGTGCAGCAGAAATTAAGAATAACAAACACAGCCATGTAGACCCACAAGATATTGAACCTACTATCCTACCAAAGATATCAGAAACCAGCAACATCAGTGAACCAGGACCTTCTGGTTTGCAGAAGTTTGTAAGTCCATTTGAAATATCGCCAGTGCCGTCCATCAGGAAAAAATCTACAAATCTTGGTCGAAAATCATCGAAATCAACGGTAATAACTTCTTCATCTTACAAGGAGGTATTAGACCAGCAAAACAGCAAAAAGAAATTAAATGTAGAAGCAGTAATAAGACACATTACAGCTGAGTTCCCAAAGGAGGTGACTAAGAAAAAAATTAAAAACAAGTCAGAGTGGCGGCATAAAAAGGAAATCGAAAGTTATTCTGACAACGATAGTGAGCAGGAATTTCAACCAGCTGATAAAGATATGGATTTGGAAGAGATTCCTGGTGTAACGGATCCGGAAAATACGTATGTAAATTGTATTTTTTGTGAGGATTATCGAGGTGAAAAATGAATTCAGTGCCTTATGTGCAACTTGTGGGCCCATTTATTGTTTTGGTACAGAAAGAGACGAATATGTGTGTGTGCATATTATACATAAAAAATTATAAAATAAGAATAAAAATATTTTACTAGTAGCCCATATTTATATCACCTTTCCGTTTCTTACTTAAATAACACCGTGTATGCTTTTATAATATTACAAAAAAAAATATCTTAATAGGCAGAAAAACGGACTAGCACAAAAGAGCAAAACAATTCTTCATGCCAATTATGTAATTAGAACTTTTTCGATTAAAAAATAGTCAAGGTATCAGCAATAAACAAAAAGATAGCCCAAATTTGTACCTTCTCTAACCACTAGAAAACTCTAGGATGGAATCGGCCATTTTGTTTGCCTGCAAAAGACAGTACAATATCAAACAGGACAATAACAAACTTAAAGAAATTAAAGTAACACACAAGATATGAAAAATCCTAAAGAAAGTAAAGATCTGGGAGCCAAGAAAGTATGTACATAAAATAGACTCCAGTAAGTTGTGACCTATATTATAAAAAAAGAGGCCCTTTGGGTACCTATAAAGAATAAAAAAGGGTACTAAAATAAAATAATATTACATGTGTACTCCATGTGTTTTTTTTAAATCTTCACACCTTTTTAAATTGGTAAACAATTCTCATCTAGTTGCGCTAACAAACCATATACAAGTGAAAATAGGTAATATTTTGAATAAATACTCCTTAGGGTATTTTATTTACAAGGTTTAAATTTAATAGGACAGCATCTTGACGAAGTACCCTCTGTACGATACTTATTCGATAGTAAACGGAACAATATAATTTAAATGACAAAGTAAAAAACCAGAGACCTTAAAAGTTTTTAAAATAAAGTAAGCTTAGTAAAAGTCTTCTTCCTTCTTAAATGTAGGCTTTAAAGCATGTTTCTTCTTTAATATTAGCCTCCTAAATTCTTTAAATTATCGCTTAATCTTTTTCTTGGCCTGCCAATACTTCTTCGTCCATTTGGTGACTTATCTCGTGCTATTCGTTCCATCCTATCCTCTACCATTTTACTAATGTGTTTGTTCCACTCCTGTTTCTGTATTGTCACCCGTTCATTTAAGTCTTCTATATTGCATGTTCTTCTTATTTTTTGGCTTCTCTTCCTATCCAACAGACTCTTTCCTGGTATTTATCGGAGTATTTTCATCTTAGTTGTTTCTAGTAGTCGTCTCGTTTTAGATGTGTCATGTCTTGTATCTTATCAATGCGGATTTAGACCGGGCCGCTCTACAATTGACCAGATATTCACAATAAAACAGATAATGGAAAAATGCTGGGAGTTTGATCGTGAGCTTCATCAGATGTTCATAGATTTTAAACAAGCATTTGATAGAGTATGTAGGGACAGACTGTGGACAGCGATGCAGGAACTTGGCTTACCAAAAAAACTAGTCCGGTTGATACGGATGTGTATGGAACGGTTACGATGTAAGGTGAGAGTTGGACAACAATACTCGGAGACATTTGAAATAAACAATGGACTAAAACAGGGCGATGCACTTTCACCACAACTCTTCAACTTAGCTCTGGAGCACATAATCAGAAGTGCAAGAATCGAAAAACCGAATACAATATTTCATCGAGAAGTACCAAACTTACTACTGTCATTTGCAGACGATATATATCTAATAGGAAACACGCGAATGATGATGAAGGAGACTTTCGTAAGGTTTGAGAAGGAAGCAGAGAAGATGGAGCTCCAAATCAACGAAAACAAGACGAAATATATGTATATGAGCCGCAATAACCAAAGCAGAGACAGAATCGGTTAGAACATTACCATCGATGACTTTAACTTTGAGCGCGTTAGAGAATTCAAGTATCTTGGAACAACAATAACTGAAGACAATAACGGATCGCAAGAAATAAACAACAGGATTCAGGCCGGCAACAGATGTATTTTTGCCCTCCAAAACCTTATAAAATCAAAACAATTAACACGACGTACGAAGATACAGGTCTATAAAACAATCATACGACCCGTTGTGATGTATGGAAGCGAAACGTGGACGATAACAAAGGCAAATGAAGAGAGACTACGTGTTTGGGAAAGAAAAATCCTAAGGAAAATCTTTGGTGCGGTGCTTGATGAAGCATCAGGACAATATAGGATAAGAACTAATAAAGAGCTTGAAGAACTTTACCCAGACGCCAACATCATAAAAGAAATAAAGTCCAGAAGACTCCAATGGGCAGGACACCTCAGAGGACATTCTGACGAACGAACAGTAAGACTGGTGTGGGAGGAAGTCCCAACTGGAAGGAGACCACGCGGACGCCCTCGTCTCCGGTGGCGAGATAATATAGCAGGAGACCTAAGCACTATGAGCGTGGAGAATTGGATGGAGGTTGCTCAAAACAGAAAACAGTGGAGGCATGTTGTCGAGTCGGCTAAAACCGACGAAGGGTTGTAACGCCACAAACTAAGTAAGTAAGTATGTCTTGTATCTGCCGTGTAGATTAATATAGGTCTAATAGCTGATTTATAGATTCTTGCTTTTGTGTCTTCTCTTAGGTGTTTGTTCTTCCAGATTGTGTCATTAAGAGATCCCGCCGTTTTACTTGCTTTTAAGCTTTGTTGTCGTACTTCTTCTTCAACATCTTCGTTACTAGTTATATCTATTCCCAGATATCTAAACCTTGCTTCCTGCTTTATTATTTTTCCATCAAGTTCGATTTTATATCGTAGTGGGTATTAGATGTTGTCATACATTTGGTTTTTTCTGCTGATATCATCATATTGTATTTCTTGTCTGTTGTATCTAAGATGTGTATGTAAGATATGTGTTAATCTTTGGAGCTCGTCTTCTGTCTCGGCGATTAGTGCGACGTCATCTGCATAACATAATATTTGGATTTCATTGTCCCTTACTCTGTAACCAAGACCTTTACGTACTGCTTGTGTAATTTCATCCATTTTTATATTAAAGAGAAGTGGGCTTTACGAGTCATCCTGTCTGACTCCACTTTGTACTGGAATATACTGTGTTAGTTTTTCATTTATCTTTGCCTGTATTCGATTATGTAAGTAGATGTTTTATACAGTAGTTGTAAGACGTCTTCGACTTGCATTCCAAATCCTTTGTCAGGTCTATAAAACATAGATATGGTGATTTATTGTACTCAATGACCTTTTTTGTAATTTGTTTTAGTACAAATACGGCATACAAATAAATATAAGTTAATGACAAAAAAATATTTAAAATTGAATTCCATAAACCGCATTATTTGCTCACAACCGTTTACCGTCTAGAACTAATATATCCGGTAATAATAGTAATAATGTGACTAATTAATATAAAACAAGATTATAGTAACGTTATAGCAAAACCGGTGGTGTGTTCCTGTAGGATTCTCGATTCCGGGCTTGGATGGTGAGGAAAGTGGAACTTTCAAATGGCCCAGTCCAATCTCCTGTATCATGTCGTGTTCATGTATAGAGACATATGCTTATCCGGTCTGGAATTCAGATTTAATTCTGAAGGAAGAAATGGTTGAACGAAAATGCCAACCAAAACAAATCAAAAGTTCTTTCCAAATTGATCCCCAAATTAAATTGAAGTTGACTGCAGTACCGAGGTTGTCCAGTTAAAAAAAAACAAACCTCTTATTTACTCTATGTTCTTTCCCCACTTGAAAAGGTTTTTATAGGATATTGAAATAAAGAGGAATTGACAAAAAGGTCAAAAGTCTCACAAAAAAACTGATATTATGTTTCACTTCGACCCTTCACAAAGAAGGATACAAATACACTTTTGAAAACAGTAGAGAACAAAGATATATGATAGATCATATTCTGTCGAAAAAGCAGAAATACGTATATCACAGAAAGTGATGGAGTCAAAGAAATCTGGGCAAAAATTAAGTCTAATATCTTAGCCTCAGGCAAGGAAGTTCTTTTTTTTTATTTTTATTTATTTTTTTTTTATTTTTTGTATTTTGAGAACGATTTCCGAAGTGGAAATTGAAACGTCAATAAACGTATTTTTCTTTAAAAAAAAAGTTCTTGGAACAGGAAGTTCTTGGTGAAAGAAATATAAATCGTTCCCAAAGCGATGAACTCTATGGTTTTGTACAGAAGTGAAGGAAAAGGAAAAATATAAAGAAAAGAAAAAAGCTTACCTGAAATACATGTCAAACCTAAACGCAAAAGGCATACCATAATAACAAAATACTTAGAAACGAAACACATGTACATGTAAGAAAAATAAAAAAATAATCACTGGGAACGCTTCTCGAAAGAAATAAAACATGATTTTTACGGTCTGCAAAAGGAAATACGGCACTTGATAAGAGGTCAAACAATGAAGGTAAAAGAACTAATAAAACTAAAACATATAGAAAAGGATACGTGGATTGACTACCTAAAATAGCTATATGCAGAGGAAAAACAAACGACGCTACAAAACAAAAAACAAACTTTTCAATATCTCAAATAAACCTTCGTAATATAATAACAAAATAACCCCATGACTTAACGTAAACTCAATTTCTTCCCCTTAATTCCCTAATTTCGCCGACATAGGCTAAACTTAATTCTACCTTTTACAAGTTCTCAGGCTGGAATGAAACCTTGTACTAATTTTTGTAAAAAAAAACATGTAATTTCCAAAGTGGAAATTGAAACGGCAATAAACTTATTTTAAACTTTAATTGTGGCTTATTGCGAATAAAATAGTAATTACGTTATAATAATTTTTCTTTATTTATTATTTTAGCTTAACTTTCGAACCGGACTCATGCTCACACTTGGCCGATAATGACTTAGAAGGAGCTCTTAAAGTGCTAGAAGGGCAAGTTGAATTGGATCCTCAAGAGGTAGCTATTATTAGATATACTCCAAGCGCCGAAGATCCACATGCAGCTTATGCAGATGAAGTCTTCTATCCACCAGCTAACTCCTACTCACAAGAAGAAATTCGTCAAAAGATTCTAGCACCAAATGCCGTTGACTGTAAGTATTTCAGTATAAACTATTTCTGTGGAAACTATTATGTATGTGGCAGCTCGAGTTATTATCAGCTCGATATCGATCATCGCTTACAAATCTTTCTTCGTTTCCTATCATCGATCATTCCGATCATAAACATTTGAATACTATTATTTGTCTGTCTCTCTTTTCTATCACAGACAAGTAATAGAAAACAACGAAGAGAAAAATATTGAAACACATATGACCTTTACCGACTTGGACAAAGCATTTGATAGTTATTCGATAGTTATTCGATAGATTCGTTAAACGATCTTCTAACGTTAAAAAATATGTTTGGCTAATTGGTAACAAAATTAGCGGACTTTTGTTTAACTCTTGTGAGGAAACCAGTGATTTCATATACCCCCAAAAATAAAAAATACAAAGGGATACATCAGCTGTTTTAGGTGGCTACGGAACTTCACTATCTCTGCCAACGATGATGAAATTGCTGATCTAGATAGTTCCGTACTATACAAGGACAATAAGGCGGAGCTCCATCCTGCATAAACTTGGCTGTTAATGGCATGAAAACACTCTATGGAGTGATATGGAACAACACTCTTACCAAAGAAAACGAGTCTTTCAAGTATAGGAATGAATATTACCCTATATAAAGCGAAAGTATACAAAAAGTTACCTATGGTGAGGTACTTCGGCGCCTGAGTAATCAAAAAGAATTACTTAGCATAATCAATGAGAGAAAAATAGTATACTTTTGTCATGTGTTGAGAGGTGAAGGATATAAATTACTCGAAATCATATTAGAAGGTGAAATGCAGGACAAAAGATCAGTTGGAAGTTGGAAGACGCCAGATCTCGTGGCTGAAAGACCTGAGGAGATGATTAGACCGCTCATCCACAGAAAGAAGAAGCAAACGTATGGCCAATGATAACAGCAATAAGAAATAAAACAAGAACAGTTAAATTTGACTTTATGATATCACCAAAGAGGAAAGAATAGAAACAAAGGAAAGGAACAGAATGGGAGTAGAAAGCTCAATCCTCATACAGTACTCTGAGCATGTACAAAGAGTGTCAGAGCATAAATGACGAAAAAAAATATTAGATTGGGACCCACTGGGAAAAGAAAGGGGAAAAAGACTTGCTACAGGATGGAAAAAGCACATAGGACATGCTCTGATAGATAAAGATGTCAGAGAAGGTGACGGGAAAATAAAGTGCTGTGGAGGACGAAAACGGCAACATTATAATGAGAAAACAAAGAAGAAAAAACATTTGAACACTTAGTTTAAAGATAGTTCAGTTGACCTGTTTGGAAGAGTAGTATCAGAGTAAGTGGTCATATTTTGCGACCTAGTGATGAGAGAAGAAATCAGTATAGTTATTATACTGACGACTATAAAAATACTTAAGAGGAGGAGAAGGTCCTTAGATTAGATAAAGTGGCAAGGTGTAGCAACAAGGAGAGGCCATATCGTAAAATTTGTAGAATAAGGAAAATAAGAGGGATAGATAAAGAGACAGAAAAAAAAGCAATATTGTGATTACGCCATGATCTAGGTGTTTTGATGATATCGTAAAATTTATACAATAAGGAAAATAAGAGAGATAGATAAAGAGTTAAAGAGACAGACGAAAAAGGGAGATATATTGTGATTGCGACATGATCAAGGTATTTTGAGAAATTTTATAAAAAGTTCGACAGTAAAAACTAAGGCATTTATTCTATTTTTCATGTTTTGATTTTTCCTTTTTGTAGCCTGTACTGTAAGAAAACCTCTAGTAGATCTTCTTTTTTTTCGTGTCAAATCAAAATCTATGCCCCAAATAAGATATATTTCTACATTTAGCAGTCTTTGGCAAATCTTTATTCTTGTTAACTCTTGTCAATACTTCCTCGTTAGTTATGTGTGGAGTGCCAGGAATCTTAAACGTTCACTTATGTTTCCAAATTTCTAATGCTTCTAATCAAATAATTCGGTAATGCAGTATACAATAGGAAAGATACTGCATTATTATTATTAGTGTTATAGCCTTAAAATTAATGTTTCAGCTCCTCAAATCTGCATCGAAATCGTCTTCTACCTATTCTTTAATATTTCCTTTCCGTTTGTTGCTCCAATTTTTCCTTTTTCTCCTTTCGTCTCATTTTGAACATACCACTGTATCTACGTCTCCCGGGCTGTAGTTAGAGATTAGCCTGGGAAGATTGTTCTCTTGTGATCGAGATATATGTCATATCCATCTATTTATATTAATGAGATATGTCATGCCTTTTTCATCGGACATGTATTTGTATTTGTTATAATATACTTTGTAGTTGTTTCTCCTTTTACAGATATCATTATAGCCAGGGATCACCAACATTGTTCTTAGGATCTTTAAACGCGAGTAAAATTTTTGGGCAACCTCATGTTTTGGATCTACATATCATCACTGATAAAATATAGCCTGGATTATTAATTGCTTCTTAATCTGGAACGTGACTTTTGTTGACTATCCTTTTGTTTTTATTCCATCCACAAAAACTTTTACGACAAAGATTATGTAAATATCAAATTTATTAATATATAAAATTTTAGTGGATATGCCTGATCCCTACGCTGACTACGCACTGGTTAAACGCACATGGATTCCTCAAATGAAACGCACACTTCCTCTACAGCAACGTTTTCCTCGAAGCCATAGAAAGCACAGCAGACAAGGTCCAGGATATGATGACGATTTATCTGAAAGTGAATTATTTCAAAATTCTGTAGCAATCGAGGTAAGTTGTTTATATAAGTGTGTATGATTACCATATTCTTTAAACGTCTATCGAAGATTCTTTATTTCTTCCAATATATAAGTGTTTATTATTAACATTATTAACATTATTCTTTAGATATCTGTATTTGAAGATTATTCATTTCATAAAATTTTTTCTATCTTCAGGAAATTGGTTACACTGTACTCCAATTGTCTTTTTATATTAATATAAAAGTTATGGCGTTTCCCATTTCTGACTACATAATAAGATATCCTTGATTAAACTAGTTGTATTTCTGTCTTTAAGTTGTACATTTTGGAGTGTTTTTCAATAATTTATGTAAGATTTTAAGATATCAGTCTTATTTATCTTCGGGGATTGCCTTTAAACCATATATAGAACAGTCTCATTACTCCAGTCGTCAGAGACGAAAATGACACTGAACCCCTAAAAATCATACGAACAAGCTAAATTTTGCCGAGAATATTATTTTGGGACCGCAAAAAAAAAGCACAAAAGTTTACTACTTTTATTCCCGGCTTCCCTCTAAAACCCCCCTCGTAGTGGGGTAAAAACGAAATAAATCGATTTACCAAGAATCTGTACTCAGCAGAAAAAATATTTTAAATAAAAAGTGTAGCTAAGATAATTTTAAACAAAAATGTTCATTACCACTTTTTGTGTAGAATGAACCGTTCTCTCACAAACAACGCTTGAAGCGACCGCCGATTTTGAGTGTCAGTTACGCGCGCGAAATCAATATTAAATAAAATTTGTATCAGGTCGACGGTAAAAATTCGATATCTTTTAATTTGAGTATCCTATCGACAAAAATTAAGATGCGTTTTAAAGGTGCAAAGTTTAGTTCTCGTATGCAATTTTTTAATTTTGTCGCAAATAAACTTAGACTTTATAAAGGTGTTAAATAAATAAACGTGGTGCGATTTTTGCCATTTTTTATTATTCTCATGAGATCAATACAATATATGCCTTTAATTGACTGGCCACTATAAAGTTTCTATTACTATAGTCGAACAATTTTCAATTAAAGGTGACTAATCTACAACTTGAACTAAACGGTAGCGGCAACCATGTAAAATTTCATTAGTAAACTCTTACCGGGGTCATTTTTATCGTGTATGCTTCGCCCATTGAAGTATGTAAATTTGTAACCCATGTAAGATCAATTTGCCCCCGTAACAATATAAATTAATGCGATTCACGAGTTTATAGTGAGACAATTTCAACGAATAGTTTGAAACATCGGTAAACTTATCAATATTTTGCTGGTCTATATATATTTACGTTCTTAGAAAGAATGTTAATGAGAGAAATATGATAGTTTATTCCTTCGAGATTATAAACATTTGTGCATAAGCGTAGTGTGTTATTGGGAATATATTTATTAAATAGACTTTATTATTAACTTTAAAATAGTTTTAAGGTAAGTAAAGTAAATTTGAGGCCAGTTTATTCTTTATATAGTATTAAACCCTTAACGGACGCTCAATATACAAAGGGAAATTTGACAATTAATTTATTAGATTCGATTAAAAACACATACATTAGGACTAATTCACAACCAAAAAATTTTTGGTTTTCAATAAGTGGTTTCATTTTCAAGGAAAACAGTACAATTTTTAATAAAGGAACATATTGTATCTTAAACGTAAATTAAATTTTAAGGTGAAAATTTTCGAAACATTCGGGATGTAGATGCATTCTAAACTTTTTATATAAATAGATAGTATTACTTTTGTACATCCTAGATTTTTGCACTATCATCTCTTTTTGTAATGTGGCCAATATTGTCGAATCTGGTTTCATCTGGTAAAGCAAATTTAGATTGACGTCCATGTACTAAGTGATACTGATGTAGCGGTTTCTTCACTATTATAAATTAAAATTATAAATCTATGTCGACTCATGCTTTCTCTTATAATATGCACTTCTTTATTCTCATCCTTTGATCAATGCATATCAACTTAAAGCTAAGCGTAAACCAGATAATATACATATGCTAATAATTTTATTTCAATGTATGTTATTCATTTAAAAATTGTGATGGTTATTCTCAATTACTTTTTTATCAAAAAGAGTAAAAAAACTTCAATATATGACTTTCCTACATGGTTGGCTTTTATATTGTCTAAATATCAATCAGACTGATGTTGAATTAACATATGCTAATAATTTTATTTAAATGTATGTTATTCATTTCAAAATTGTGATGGTTATTCTCAATTACTTTTTTATCAAAAAGAGTAAAAAAACTTCAATATATGACTTTCCTACATGGTTGGCTTTTATATTGTCTAAATATCAATCAGACTGATGTTGAATTACTACTGAGCACGAATGAATATCCGTTATTACAACTTGAGATAAATTTGGATTTACTATTTTTGTCTGGTTTTTTCTTTGGTCGTTTTATCTGTGGTTCAGAGGAATATCATAATCAGAATCATCAGAATTCCCAATCACTTGTATTTCATATGTACCTGCAATATCCGATTTTATTGATTCTTCACAAATAATATTCAATCTAAAGACTGATATTTTTTTTTTTTTTTTTGTACACACTTATGACAAGTCGAAAGAAAATGCAAAAAAGTATTTTTGAAGTGTGTATATTTTAGGCAATTCCTAGCTGAGCGCTTTCGGCTTTACAAAGCCATCATCAGAGCTATGGTCAATTTTAAATACCACTACAAAGGAGAGATCTCGTTTCCTTAAGTTTCACAATTATGATTTTGTAGGAGTTGGAATTTTTAAACATATAAAAAAAACATATAAAAGGTCGACACTGGACGTCACAAACACGTTAAAAAATTGAAAAATTTTTTTTTGTCATGGTACGGGTTTAAGACCCGACCATCTATTGATGTGAGGATGTAGACTGAATTCAGTCTACATCCCATTCAGTCTACATCCTCACATCAATAGATGGTCGGGTCTTAAACCCGTACCATGACAAAAAAATTTTTCAATTTTTTAACGTGTTTGTGACGTCCAGTGTCGACCTTTTATATGTTTTTTTATATGTTTAAAAATTCCAATTCCTACAAAATCATAATTGTGAAACTTAAGGAAATGAGATCTCTCCTTTGTAGTGGTATTTAAAATTGACCATAGCTCTGATGATGGCTTTGTAAAGCCGAAAGCGCTCAGCTAGGAATTGCCTAAAATATACACACTTCAAAAATACTTTTTTGCATTTTCTTTCGACAAATAATATTATCATCAATGTCTTCAAGGAATACAATAATATACCAGCAAATGAATGGGAAAATACCCGCCGGAACTGTTTAAAGCAAAGGAAAATAATAATCAACACAATAACGTACCTGAATTAAGACACGAAATAAAAATCAGTTTTCAGGAAGTAGAAATAGTCATAAATTCACTCAAAAATAGAAAGTCACCAGGACCAGACGGAATAACCAACGAGCTTCTAAAATACGGAGGAGAAAGTATGACCCTAAAGATGACAAAGCTTATACAAAAACTAATATTGCACTGCAAGATACCAGACGCATGGAGAAACAGCATAATAATACCAATATTCAAGAAAGGAGATAAAGAAGACCCCAACAATTATAGAGGTATAAATCTACTGAACACCGCACTTAAGGTTACCACAAAAGTCCTAACCAACAAAATCAATAAACTAACAACTTTATCAGATGAACAACAAGGATGCAGATCCGGATGATCCTGCGTAGATGCCGTATTTGTACTAAGACAAATCACAGAAAATGCCATCGAATACAATAAACCAGCATATCTATGTTTTACAGACCTGACAAAGGCTTTCGATCGCATCCAAGTCGAAGACGTCTTACACCTACTATATAAAAGAAACATACCAATCAATATTATACAAACCATCGAAAGTATCTACCTCCATAATCGAATACAGGCAAAGATAAATGGAAAACTAACACACTGTATACCAGTACAAAGCGGAGTCAGACAGGGTGACTCGTTAAGCCCACTTCTCTTTAATATAATAATGGACGAAATAATACAAGCAGTACGTAAAGGTCATGGCTGATGAATGGGGAACAAAGAAATCCCAATATTATGTTATGCAGACGACGCCGCATTAATCGCCGAGACAGAAGATCAGCTCTAAAGATTAACACATATCTTCAATACAACAGCTAAGAAATACAATATGATAATATCAGCAGAAAAGAAGAAATGTATGACAAACATTTAAATACCCACTAAATACCCACTACGGTGTAAAATCGAAATTGATGGGAAATAAAGCCGGAAGCAAGGTTTAGATATCTGGGAATAGATATAACTAGTTACGGAGATGTTAAAGAAGAAGTACGACAGCAAAGCTTAAAAGCAAGTAAAGCGGCGGGTTCTCTTAAAGACACAATCTGTAAGAACAAACACCTAAGACAAGACACAAAAACAAGAGTCTATAAAGCAGCAATTAGACCTATATTAACATACACGGCGAGATAGGGGGAGAAGCAAGAAGATCATGCAATATAGAAGACATAAATGGATGGGTGACAAAACGAAAACAGAAGTGGAACACATCAGTAGAATGGCAGAGGATAGAATAGTACGAATAGCACGAGATAAGTCACCAAATGGACGAAGAAGTATTGGCAGACCAAGAAAAAGATGGTAGGATAATTCAAACAATTTAGAAGGCTAATATTAAAGAAGAAACAGGCTTGAAAGCCTACATACTAGAAGGAAGAAGAAGAAGAAGAAGATCAATGTGTTCTACATCAGAAACTTTCTAATCTAATCTCGATGGCAAATAAACCACATGATTCAGCATTTTCACAATCTGAGTCTTCTTCTAACAAAGCTATTAACTCTTTAGTAGTTAGTGCCATCTTCATTTCATATTTCGAGAATTTACTGAAATAAACAAATGCACTACTATATAAACATTCAATAGCATTCACCTAATAATAGTTTAGTTTACTTCATTTTAATTTATATGAATTTCATAATACATTTTCATATTTATATAAACAAAT